AGTCTGAAGTCACGCACTGCCTGTCATACAGTCTGTTTCGAACGAGCTGCCGTTTGATATTGCTATTAGGTACGTTAACTAATATAACATCATCTTGCAGCTGGGCTCTTACAATACTGTGATGTATTGCTTATGCGATGCATTGGTACCGAATAGCCGTTTTCAGCAGCTATTTTCAAAGCTAGTTGCCTTGATTCCTGTCGTTCTTCATCACTAGAACACATCCTGGTTGCTGTTGTGACCATGTTCTTAATGACTGCATTTTTGACTGGACCAGGATGAGCTGATGTTGCGTGAATCAGGATGTTTTTGCAACTAGGTTTGCGATACCACTTTATGCTAGCAGTGCCATTAGACAACTTGATTTGCGTATTCAAGTAGGGCAGCCAATCGTTCTTGGTACTTCTCGTGTGAGCTTGATGTACTGGGACTGCTCATTCAGCAGTCGGAAGCATTCATCCATTTCAGGCTGTGTTGATGTTACAATGAAACAGTCGTCAACGACAGGAATCAAGACAACTAGCTTTGAAAATAGCTGCTGAAAACGGCTATTCGGTACCAATGCATCGCATAAGATCGAGTGCTGGCCAACAGCGACACGTACCACGCCAAGAAAAGTTACCTTTGTGCCTCCCTTTCATCTCCGATCGAGTCAGCACTGCAATACATCACAGTATTGTAAGAGCTCAGCTGCAAGATGATGTTATATTAGTTAACGTGCCTAATAGCAATATCAAACGGCAGCTCGTTCGAAACAGACTGTATGACAGGCAGTGCGTGACTTCAGACTGTATCATCTGCCCAAATGGCACGTCAGGGGATTGTGGTAAGGTTGGGGTGATTTACCAACTTAGTTCTAAGGGTCACGTGCAAAACGGAGACCAAGCGATTCCTTTGTTCACCACCCCCTCTTAAATATTTTGAACAAGCTTGAAAAATAATGTGTAATTTCGGTTAAACATCATGATCAAAATGACATTATAAACTAATTAGTTTGATTCAAGATGTTTTCAAATTAAACCTAATAGTTTCATTGAATGTATGGAATGTAATAGCACGTATATGGGAGAGCACTAGGTACCCGTATTCAAGAACATCTAGCTGGGAAGAGGCGTGGTAATGTAGCTACACCACTTGGCAAGCACAAGATTGAGGAGCACAATGGGAACGACTTTGATGTTAAATGTTCTGTGTTAGCGTACGAGACTGAGATTTCATCCAGAAAAGCATTGGAATCATTCTGGATTTTCGCAAGGAAACCTAGAATGAATGGCCGAAACGAATGTCCGTCGATTACGAATGAGCTCTTGCCTTTTGTCTCAAAGTGCGAGCTATCATTGCGACGTGCAAATTGACAGATTTTGAAATATATGGCACACGAGACGAGTAGAGCTCATTCGTTTCACTGACGTCAACTAACACAGGGCGTGAGCTACTGCTCCGCATCGGTGGAATCATCGGTGAGTTACTCTTCATCACTGAGTGCTCCGTAGTATTCTCGACGTTCTCTGACGTCGAGAATACTGTAAGCGGTTGATCGAGTAGCTAACGAATCAAAAGCTTCAGACAATCTCCAGGCCTCTGAAGAAGACGAAGCGGTCGAAACGTCAGGCCAGTAATAAAGATTCCATCTTAAAAACCTCGTTTGGCATACAGTACAAAAACAATTGCAGTACATTAACATCAAATGCCGAGGTTCCAAGAAAGGACGACATGGAGAATGAACTTGCAGTAGTTCCATTATGACTCTTTGAGGAAGTTCTTTATTTATGAAGGTTTAGGCCGAGCAGCCGTTGAAAGCAAGAGCGTGAATAGGCTAACGTAAGGACTTGCATTCGCAGCAACGCTTCCCACCTACTGCGATTGACTCGGAGACCAGAGTGCTTACTCATACGGCGTGCTCTCTCGCGTGATTCACCTTTTCTGGTCGACCCCTCTCTCCGGCGTACCACATCCAACCTTTCTTTACTTTCCAAAGTTCAGTCGGTCAATAGTCGCGTTTTTGATAGTTTCGATTGCTTCGTTTCCACATTCAGTTCACTCCGCATCACAACCGTCACCATGAAGTGCTAATACTACAGTTTAGCCCGGGGATTGTCTTTAAGGGTGTTTGCTAATGACGTCTCTGGTGTGTTGGGTGTTAGGTCTTCGGAGAAGCTTTCGATCCAGAGTATCAACCACTATCCGCAAAACAAGACGTAAAGTTACTTATGAGAGTTTATGTGAATGCGGAAGTGTGAAAGTTGATTCTAGATGCTGTGCATCTACAAAAGCGGCACCTGTACGGTACTGACTTCATCTTTCAAGGAGAACCTCTATTGTGCAAGGAGGTATTGCCAACATGATTTGCATTTACCAGAGGAACAAAGTCAGTCGCGCACTCTGAGCGCCTTAGAAACGCTGCCGAATCTTCAGCTCGAGGCTTCCTTGTGAGCGTCATACTTGGATCTTTCATGTATGTACATGGGTTTGCAACACACGCAAGAGCGTGCTAAGGGAGCTCTCCTGGGAAGCTAACAACTAACAAATGCATTTTCTACCAATCTATCATCACGGTATATGGCTATGAATGCACTTCTTCGTCTATATAAGACAACAATAAAGTAGATCATGGTCTATTTTAAAGGTATTGCCTTTGCACATAAAGGAGTCAGCAACGAATGCATGCGGATACGCAAAGCCCCCCAATAATCTCCTGCCAAAAATCAAGTGAGATGTGATCGATGGTATAGCAGTCTTCTGAAGGAAAGGCAGGCACTATTTGGATCGTCAACCATGTGACACAGCTGCACGCACCGTTGAATGATAACTCATCGTCAAATCAAGCGCATTCTCGTCAGGTCGTCCGTAATTGACGATCGCAAGAGAAACGAGTGGTTTCGCGCTAGCTCGCACGTGATAGACGCACGTTATAGAGCTGGATTAGTGCAATTTCTTTCTGACCCTTCCTGTCAATAAAAAATATGTATTTCCTTACAGTGCATCCATAACTTGTTGTGTTCCTATAGCAGTATTCTCCTTGACATGCACCTGAACGATCGAAATAATTTGTAACAGAGACCATGCGTCTTTTGCATCTTTTGCAAACTGAGTTCTAATTCAGGATTAACCGTCACTTTGCACTTTTTCGAAGATCGCCGCCTCCATAATCACCAACTCCGCTC